TTTGATAATTTTCTTTAAGATTATTCTGCTTCCTTTCTCTAGAATATTTGAATTAGTTTACATGGATTAACTTTTATTATTATTGTAGATGAAATGTTGGATTTACTCCCATAAACTGTCTTACTGTAACCGGATCACTTCTCCAACTATGGGTTGGGCTGCAGACACACAAAGCATCAAAATGCAAAGTAAAAACCAAATAGTGCTCTCACCATAGCAACTACCACCTTCAGATGCAAATACAGGAGTAATGGAAATTATTTAAAAAAAACTAACCTGGATGTCAGTTACAAAAGAAAAGTAAGGCAAGCTGAATGCTGTTGAAGACATAATGTCAGCTGCACTTCCTGTATTCAGCTGGTAGGTTCAGGTGAAAAAGTCTATATGGTTATAAAACAGAAACAAATGCCCAGATATACCAAGTTACAACATTTAAAAACAACTCATCTCTTTGGAGAAGGATGTTGGTCTATTTCTGACAGATGTCCAGATGAACAGCTGGACAGTGAGTGCTGAGCTCTGTCATGTAAAAAACATGTACAGCAAGAGTACAGTGACTAACAGGTGCATTGGCCCTAAACCTAACCCACTTCACCATTTGCTCAACAAACGGTGAAATGGGCTGCAAACACAATACAACAGCAAAACAAATTAACACAAATAACAGACAGTACATAAAAAATATTTATTTTAAAGTTTGAAAAAGAGATCTTTTTCTACCCTTTCATGCCTGTCTTTTAGAAGTAAACAATAAAACATTACAAATAAGAAAAACAACCAAGAATAAAAGCTGCAACTTTGCTCCACAAAAATGGAAATCCTCCAGATCACTAGAAGGAGTTTGGAGTGACGTATTATGAAAATATGCTGATGTTCTACTGAAACAGACATTAAATATACAGCAACTTTTTTTTCTTCCTCCAACTTTCTTCAGCAAATCTAATTAAAATCCTGAAAACTGTTTATGTTGTTTGAATCTCCTTGGATTTATCCAACATCTGCAGCATTCGATGTTGCTGTTTTGCAGAATTTTTACTTTTGCTTTTATTTCCTGTTTCTGCAGCATTTTGTCTATGTCAATATGTATAATGCAGATTGGAGTGTTGAGTGTCTGATGAGAGTTCATTAAAGCAAACGGAAAACTTAAAAAGGTTTAGGAACAGACTGGGAAAAGCCGAGTTAAAGGGAGGATTACAGAGGTTCTTTGTATGGGTTGTAACAAAAGGAATCATCAGTATTTGTGTTTCCACTGAACTTATAATTGTACAATTTCATTTGCTTAATGGAAATGCAGCATTTTTGAAAAAACTCAAGTTTTTCTATGAAAAGTTTTAGCACTATGATCAGGTGTTTTTTTTTTTTTTTTGCCCATTTCAAAATTGGTTTATTTCATAAAACTACAATGGAAGCACATAATCAACAACCAGATGGTGTAAACCACCAAGAAGAAGATGACAGGAAGTAGTAGATGGATGGGAGAAAGAAACTTGAACCAAATGAAAAGACAAATAGAAAGAAACATTAAATAAACAAATCACAAACCAACAACAAAGAAAACAAAGAATAAGACTAACTGTAGTGATACGAGGAATAAACTAAAATGGAAAAGTAAGAGAAAAACAAACAGAAAATTGATCAAAAGAGGAAATAACTAAAACAGCCCAAAAAACAAATATCAGTCTGTAGTTGCAACATTATTTATTTATTCATTTTGCATTTGTATTGTTCAGGTTTTAGTTTCTATTTTCTTGCAATTGCTTTTGTTTTTGTCTTGTGTGTTTAGGAGTTTGCATCATTCATGTGTTTGCAGCGTATTTCATTATTTGTTGTAATGAAATACAACAAATAATGTCAGTCACCATATAAGCAACTAACCTTAGGAATATAATCCACTAATCACTGCATTATAATTCAAGGGTGATTAATAAGTTGATAGACATTATGTTGTCAATCACAACATAATATCTATCTAAAGCAGATAGTTAGATCCTTTTACGAGCCCCCGGTCTGATTACTGACCTGATAAATTATTAAATCACTAAAACAAGACAATAGTACAATAAAAAAAAAAAACATTTTTCTTCCATACTTTTCTATACTCTATAGGTAAATGTTGGGATCACGTTTTAGATACATAGATTGTTTAGATGTAGCTCACCTCTTTCTAGATGAAGGCTGGTTTGATTTAAAATCAATGAGATCCCGCTTGGACATGTTCTCCCAGGATTCTGGTTCCACTTCATCGTCAGATTGTTTTCTGTAAATAAAGTTGCTTAAGTGATGATTTGCTCTAACAGATTGATGACACAAAAACAGTGGAAGGTCACTTCACCTCTTAGCTTTGCTCTGAGGTTCTCCTTCTTTCAGCTCCTCATTCTGACTCATGATGCCGAGGTCAGGGCCACATCAATCTGCAAACAGTTTTTATATTAATTTACAGAGACGATCTCTCACCTGTCCCACAGCTCTACATATTGTTTTTCTCTCACATCATGTTCAATAATGCTGCGTTCACACCAACATGTTTCGCATGTCAAAAACGTGATTCACAGCCTCGATGCGCCTCAACATAGACTGTAATCCAGACGTGGCTGACGCTCAAAACGTGGTTGGTGTATCGCAGCATAAAACTATCAGTTGACATTATTATGCAGTAAGACAAGCCAACAGAAAAACACAAAGGAATCTGGCAAAAAGCAGGAACTAATTTGGTACTTCCTACTGAATATTTAAAAAATGTTAACTTTCCTGTTATTAAAAACATAAAATGAGGTTTCAACCTTCATATTTTGTATGTGCACTTTGAACTGTTAATAAATATGATTAGTCATTTAATATTAGTACAATAATTAATAAAGTTGAAAGTTATTTAAAACTATGTTTTGTCTCACACACAACTAAAGATTCATATACACACAAAAGACTAAAATGCCACACACATACAATTTTTCTCACTGTTGTAATACATTTTAAATATTTTTAAACATTTTAAAATACATTTTAAATATTATTACCAGAATCACACCCTGGTCTTTGTGCCTGTACTTCCCCTATGTATAAAGGTGAAGACTTTCATACATTGGAGGTTATGTATAAGGCTGAATATATTAAATTAATTAAATATATATATATTCTGTCTATACAGGATTTCTCTTTATGGTTTATTTCAAAATATGAGAAATAAATCACAAAGCGTATTAGATTTCATATTTTTTTTATCACATTAATAGTCATTAATTTTCTATAATATAGAGTATAGAAAATTGTACATTTTACTCAAAAAAAGTAAAACGTAGCTGTCTGAAAGTAAAAAAGTATTTTTGTAAAAAGGCCACTGAAGTACTGAGTAACTGATCATAGCATTTTTTTAAATATTTAAAATTACATCAGACAGACAAAAAGTTATCAGCAAATATTGACGGAGACAATAATAATGTTTCAGCATTAAACAAACCAACACATCTAACTGGAGTTTAGAAATAAATGAAATAGAGAAACTAAACGAGCCTCGGTCTGATCGTTCTTTATGACCGACCAGCTGCTGCATAAAGACAAAAAAATCATAAAGACCAAATCTAGATGTTATTTAGTGTTTCTCCTGTTTCGTCCACAATGTATGGATTGTCTTACCTTCAGTTTGAAGTTGATCTGCAACACAGAAAAGATAACTGAAAATAAGTGTCTGAAATTTTTAGGTTTTTCCTCCAGGTGAGAAACTGATTCTGTTTTCATTCTCTGATTCACATCCAGTTCTGTCCGGTTTTTTAGTTCCTGTTTCTCAATTTGCAGGTTTTGTTTACTGTGGGCAAGTTATCAGTAGGTACCTGCAGACTCACCTTCTCCTATTTCTGATGCAAAGCAGGAAGGTTGAGCCCTGTGAGTATGGCAGGCCAATTTAGCATACAATCTGTTTTCCATCCATCCATTTTCTTACACCCTTGTTCATCTGAGTTTTTATAAATATTTAAAAGGAGTTTTCACTAGAAACAACTACATTTTGACTATTCTAAAGAGTAATTTAAAATATCTGCTTTTATATTCTGACTAGTAAAAAAACACAATTCAAAATATTTCCAGTGTCTGTGTTTCCCACGGTGTGTTATAGTGGGTTTGGTTTTTACATTTAATTAAACAAAAACATGTTGACGTGGGTCATGATCTCACTTTGGTACCGCTGTGTCTTTATGGCAAGCAGTGTTAATATAAAATCATCTTCTCCATACTCACATTGCAGACATCTGAAATCACTTTATGATTAAACATGATTAGTTAATTATGAAGCTATCTCTTCTACTGAGTCCCAGTTGAAGATATCAGCAATAAAATATTTACTATTTCAAACATATATTTCCACCATGTTGATAATAATGAGGTGAACATGAGGAAGCTCTAAAATAATTCATATACTTGGATATTTTGCATATATTTGATTAACACCTCTAGTTGTTTCCCTATGTGAGTTTTGTATTTTTACATTTTCTTCATTTTTTCATTTGTTGTATTTTGGCACTTGCTCAATAACATTTCATGGGGAAATAAGAATGAGGAGAGTTAACTGCTGCATAAATAACCTTCACCCACTTCAAAATAAGAGCATTTTACTGTTAATAATAATTACTGTTAATTATTAACAGTAAAAAACCAAAACTTTTACACAGATTTCAAATGTTATTTAACTGAACATTTACAAAACAGAAAAGTAAATTAGAGTTTTAAAATTCATCTGAAAAAATTTATCTAAAGGAAGCTAAAGGCACTGAACATTTTCCAAAGTTAGCTAAAAAAAATTAGCTGCTAATAGCAGAGCTAAGTGTGCAAACTAATAAATTTTCAAGATGGCAGATATCCTCTTACTACCTTGGCTCAAAGAAGACTAGTAAGTTAGCTTTAGCATCTAATCTCTTGTCGTCCTGAATGACTAGAGACTGAAGGTAAGCTGTTAGCTGCGAATAACCTCTCAACAGAACCCCACTTCAAAAACATCTAAATTTTACACCATGTTTACTGGACTGATGATCAGGGGCATTTCGTTTTTTCCTGATTTGTTGGTGCAGGGGCTGAAGAAGGGGAAGAGGTTTTCAGTGAAGATGTCGTGGAAAGAGTAAATGTGGACTTTGGAATCGACGTTGTAAAAAGATACCTGTGGGAAGAAGAAAAGAACAAGGACAGTTTACTAACTTAATAAGGTTTCACATCCAGCCGTTAATCGTTAGATTGATGAGTTTCTGAAAGTAAAACAAGGTTTTGTTTTCACCTCTCCTTTCTCATAGTCCACAAATATTCCAATCTTATGAGGTCGAAGTTTCATCTCCACGTTTGTGCACGGCTCAGAGCGAAAGGCGTAATTGTGTCTGAGGGAAAAGAAGAAAACAATTAAATTTCTAATGACTGCCTGTAGAGCCATGATGGGAAGAGTGGACACACAGCCAGACACAGGGATTTAACGTGAGGAGGTTTCTGTTATAATGTGTGAAAATAAAGTCATAATGTTACCAGAATAAAGTTGTCACATGGCAAGAAAAACATTGTAATATTACTAAAATAAAAAACAACAGCATAGAATAAAATAAAGTTGTAATATTAGTAAAATAAAGTAGTAATTAGTTAAGAAAAACATGACAGAAGTCTGATGGTCTCTGATTGGTAGAGAGTGGGGTCAGAGGTCACATTACAATAGTTACAATAATCCAATCCACCATTTACAAAAACTCACAGCAGTGACTGAGTCTGACCAAAAGCCAAAGAATGATCAGAAATTTCAACATGGCTTCCATGTCCTCCATTACTAATGAAGGACGTTGTTTTTGGGTTACATACAGATCACATTGTACTGACATTGGCATCACCTACTAGAGCTCTGACTCAGTGGTGATAGAAAACCATCCGCACTGTGTAGAGCAGAACTGAGCCAATTCAAAGCTAGTTGCTTTTGGTAAAGGGCCGTAAGTTAGACTGGCAGTCCACTAGTTCACAATTTGTAGCGTAGAGACGACCATATGAACACAACAGACAGAAAGCAGGAGACATAAATATACAGACCATAAATATGGATGTTTGATGTTGGGTATTCTGACCACTAGGGAGCTCTGAGATCTTCACTCTGTGGAGGAATCATAAAGATATTTATCACACTCCAGCTCTCCATACAAAACAGGCAAAAATAAACAAGTTATTTGTAGATCTTGACAAATAATAAAAGTAACCCTAAGAAGCAACTTCAACATATTATACTTTTTTAACATTTGTTTTGACAGTGAAAACAGAGAAAAAGCTTTAGCCTCATCTGACCGGAACATCTTCTTCTACAATTTCTCTTTCTATCTTCCCATCACTCTCAGCATCTCACATTCCTACCCTTAGAAATCCTGACCTGCTCATCTTTCCCATCTCTGTCTCTCTACTTCACCAACCTGTACAAATCATTATTTCCCTCCTTATTGTCCAAACAGCATATAGGTCATTATTGGCCCTTTGTTTGGGCTTTGCCACCACTATTTTCACAATACTTTTTTCTCCACATGTGCTACTGTAGCACATATTCTCAAGGGAGAAATTGAGTCTTTTCAAAATGCTTTATACATTTTTTTATTTTTTTAATAAAATTTCAAAATGCTATATGAACAACAGATGATTTGACAGAATAATTATTCAAAATATCTAAAAAGAAAAGATGAATTTTAGCTTATCCAAAATACACTTTCAGATATCTGTTGTTAGTTTTATCTGGAATTATTTGCTTTCATAGTATCTATAATTTAATTTGTACATGTCAAGTCCTATAGGTTATTGTATCTAAAAATACATTTAAAAGTCTTGAATTATGATGTAATATAAGACATATTTAATTGGAATTATGACTAGTCAGAACAAAAATCAGGATGTCTCAAATTTAGTTTATAACTAATCATAATTTAGTTATTGATACATGAGATGTATGTTTCAGATGGTCAGTAATTCTAGAATTAGAGCCTTGAAAAACCTTAAAGTTAAACCTGATTCAATTTGATTGAAATAAAAAATATTTTATTTATCTGAATGGGAAATTAAATCTTGTAAGTTATATTAATTTAAGATTCCTCAAAAAGTTGTTGATGGTGATGACTGTTGGCAGGAAATATCTAGTATTACAACGATTTACTGACAGTTTCATGAAGAGAATGCTCATTGTTTTCCATAATCTTGATTTTATGTAAAATCCTTCTTTGCACCATCGTCTTTGGACCAGAACATCAGATGTTAGATCAGCACCATCAGTCTGTAGCTGCTGAGGTTCTTTGAATGTTTGGTCTTTGGTACACAGAGATATTTCACTGTTTTTAGTAATTACCCCAGAATCACAGTGATGGGAATATCAAAACAACTCTACAGTCATTTGAAGATATTTTATTGTCAAACATATAGAATCCCTTATTTAAACATCTGTAAACATAAAATCTCCTTCAAGTGTTCATAAAGTGAACACTCTTTATGAACTCTTACCAAAGTAAGTAAAATGGGTTTTTTTCTTGATTAAAGCTTAAAAAGTGATTTTAAAACTGGGAGACCCAACCAGCACCATATAAACTGTAACATAGTGTAGATAAATAATGCAATACAAATATTAATAAAATGCCTTAAAAAGCAAAATTTCACACAGTTTTACATAATTTATGTTCCGTTTATAATAACATATCAGTACTGAAAAATATAGTGAAGTACTTTTACTCCCTTCATGTCACCAACTTGTTAGTCTAATCACAGGAAAGAGTTTTATTACAGTAACATTAGAATATGGTGCGATTCAAACAAATGTAAACGATGCATGTAGAGATTATATTGTCTTCAGCGAGACAACAGCAGCTGAGAAAAACTACTTCTTAACCAGTTTTCACATGAATAGATAAATAAAAGTGTACATAAAGAAAAAACATGTCAAGGATTTAAAAAACACTTGAAGAATCCAGAGGTCTGGAAAGAACATGGGCAAAACTTTCATTCTGGTTTTACTTTGGATGCATTTGCTGAACTAATTTCTATTGTCTCACAAATTGAAATGGAAATAAATATTCATGTTTTTCCTTAACTACCGAATGCTCTCTGAGGATCTTAGCAAAACCTCATTAGGACGGTTATTTAAAATGCTGCTGCCTGGCTTTTGATAAAATCCTTCATTTTCAAATGTAACTCCAATCTTTATGGAACAACATTGGCTTACAATTTACTTTAAAGTGCAACTTAAGAATCTTTTTCCAACTTCATAGACAGGCACCAGATAATGTCAGTGTAAAGTAGGTTTTCTCCCTCTGACTTAGAATGACTCTAAAATGAGCACCAACAGACTCCTGAACGACTCCTGAACCCAAATCCAGGATAAAGAGGTTCAGTGAATTTGGTGTTGAAGGTGTAGATGTGGATCAGTGCATCTGAAGAGACTCTGTAGAAGGACAGAGTCCCAGCAGGACAGTCCACATACACGGCTACTCTGGAGGAGGAAGAGGATGAACACTTAAAAACTTTTCTACAATCGTGCCAGACAGCATAACCCTCATGTGAGCAGATTAGACTCCAAGAGTTATTATTAAATCCAAACCAGCTGTCATCAGTCTGTCCTTTTCTTTGGATTCCCCTGTAACTCACTGATACATAGACCCTCCCACTCCACTCCACCTCCCAGTAACAGCGACCAGTCAGAGGTTTAGCACACAGCAGCTGAAACAAGTCAAATCTGTCTGGATGATCAGGATATGGCTGCTCCTCTTCCACAAGCATCACCTTCCTGTTGCCTTCAGATAGTCTGAGGAATCTGTTTACAGTGTTCATGTCGACTTTGAGAGGACAGGAATCTGAAAGACAGGAGAAACATGAATTAACTTGAAGAACTGATCAATAAACTGATCATCTTAATGCCTTGATCATGACTAATAAATGGAACACCTGTTCCAGACAGGTGTTCAGACCACTTTATTATAAATCACATGAAAAACACACTTACACTTCCTCAGACCTGCTGTTAACCACTGGACTCCAGCAGGTTCCACCCTGGAAGAGGTCAGACATTCACATGAATCACATCAGTGTCTTTTTGTCATGTATGTGGTTTTTATGCAAGAGTGGGAAAAAGAAAGTCAGTTCTGAAAAAACAGTGCAGCTTAGATTGTAACAATCCATCTATGGGATACAGCAAACGTGTGAGAGAAGGGATGTCAAAACATTGTGATCAAGGTTTGTATTTTTAATTATATTTTGTTTTTTGGCTTTCATACCATCATTATCACCAAGTCACAGTTAGACATTTAGTTGTTGGTTAAATTATCATGCTGTGTCACGGAATATCTATTAAAATTTGATTGGAAACTGGCAAAAAGTGGAAGAAAAAAATACTTTCAAAAGATGCTTTAGTTTCATTGTAGAAAAAATTGGTAGTGGACTGTATGCTTCACTAAGGAAGTGTAATAGCATGTAACTGATTATGCCAGTAATGTAGATTTATCCAGTATCTAACAATAACACTGTTAAGCTGCAGAGGTTTCCCTACTTCAGAGTCTCCAGCTTCCAGTCTGCATGATCCCGTCCGGCAAACAGAGGATGATTGTAACTCAGGTCCAACTCCTTCAGGTGTTTGGGATTCAACATCAGAGCAGAGGCCAGAGCAGCAAAGCCTTCCTCTGTGATCAGACATCCTGAAAGCCTGCAGACAAAACAAACATAACAGTGAAATGCAAAAACATTAACCAACAATACCCTAAAAAAGACTGATGACCTGCCGTCTTAGTTTTAATCAATAATTTGCAGAGTGGCTTGAAGTTTCTCATGTTAAAGCAGCAGTGGAGAAGAAATGGTAGAAATATGAGAAGCTCAGGTGTCATAACACCACATTTACACCAAGACATTTGTGTATTCAGCAACCTTGACATCAATCATCCTTTTTGTTAGACAGTTTTAGCTTCAAGCTTTTTATTACTGAATATTTTCTTATTATTGAAAATGACTTTAAAAATGTTAGTGTTTTACACCAAATGCTGCAGTTGCCACTAGTTATAATCTAGAAACAACATCTTTTGATGTTGAAACAAAAGATGTAATCATAGAAAATAGAAGCAAAAACCTAAAATTTAGCAAAACAAATGCAACCACAAACAAAATGCTGCAACCATGGAATATAGAAGTGAAAGGGAAATGATCACAAATAGCACAAACAACGGCAAATATGAACAAATTAAAGTGCTGCAAACCAGTTTGGAGTAAAATTTGGGGATTTGCAGACATTTTATGAGTAACTTTATCAGCTTCATCCGATATTAAAATCTGAACTAACCTCAGAACTTCGAGTTTACAGTTTGGACTCTTCAGTCCGTCACAGAGCAGCTTCACTCCTGAGTCGCCCAGGTTGTTGTTACTCAGGTCCAGCTCCTTAAGGCGAGAATCTTGAGAGGAGAGAACTGAGGACAGATCTTCACAGCTTTTCTCTGACAGGTTACATCCACTGAGTCTAAGGAGACAAAATAAATACACAGTATTTATTATTATGTGTTTAAAATGAGCTGCTGCACCAAAATCGGTTTCAAGGCAGCAGCTAAAGAAAAAATAGCTGCATCAGACATAAACAACAATTTTTTTATTTATTTATCTTGGTCAGCTATGAACATTTTTATTATTACTGCCACTGTGTCAGAGTCTCTGTGTGCTACCTGATGGACTTAGAGTCTGGATACGTACAGGTTACATCTGGGTTGATGCTCTATGGCAGGGGTTTTCAAAGTATGAAAGGGTGAGCCCCCCTCCAAGGAGCACAATGCCTGCCCACACACACACACACACACATGCCACTACAAAACACCTTCTAATTGCTTTTAGTTTAGAACCATCTCATCTTTTAAAATGACACTTTATCTGAATGAAATTTAACACATGAACATTTTAAAACATTTCCTCCCAGGGCCTTTGGATGGCAGATATGCCCTTTTTTCATTTTTCTAATGATAAGAATAATTCCAAACTCATTTTTCAACCGTTTTCTCAACAAACGTTACATCTGAGATTCTGAGTTTAATGTTTGAGATACCAACAGTGTTTTCACATCTTAACAAAAACATTTTGATCAGATCTTTGGAACACATCTGTAAATGTTGCACATTTCCTTGAAATTTCAAAAATAAATCAAAAACCTAAACAGTTGCAAAATTGTGGAGCTCTTTTTGTGGCTCATCTAAGCAATTTAAACAAACAATTTATCTCGAGCTAAAAGAGCGTGCAGTATGGAAGAACGGAGGCTTACAAAAGAACAAACATTTACGCACGCTATGCGCACCCCTTTTTTTCTACCACGGTCCTGAATCATGTGTAACTCATTTTATTTATGATTTTAACTAAATTGGCAACGTGGCAACATTACTGTTCAGCTCAATTTGCTTGTGCTTTTGATGCGCAAATCCGGTTAATGCGGGGTTGCACTGTGGAGCGGTATAACCGCAGATCATCTTCAACCAGCAGCCTTGACCGGGATTTGCTTTTTATCATTGCGAGAGCGGAAAACCCACATTCACAGAGATAGGTTGAAGTGAAGGAGATGAACACGTTCACTAAAAATTTGTCAGTTTTTTTTCTCTCACATCAGTAGACAGCAAGCGGATAGCTTCTTCTTCGGTTTATTTTTTTCCTCGCACCGCGCCTCCCCTAATGTGCTCTGGCGCCCCCCAGGGAGGCGCGCCTCACACTTTGAAAACCGCCGCTCTATGGTCTTGATCTTGAAAGATTCCAGATAAGGAGCACAAAGTTGTGCGCAAAAAAGAATCACATCTGTACTGAGTGGCCATGTTACAAGCAATGTAAGAGAGGAAATACTATTAATAGCACAACTGTGTGCCACTGATTGCACATTGAAAACTGCTGCAGATCACCTTCTTTCAATGAGGTTTTTGCATATCTTAGTGGCAGTCATCATAGAGAGTATTATGGAGTGACGTGGTCGTTAAAGGAAACTGAAGGCATGGAGTTTGAGGTGTAATAATAATACATTTCATTTACATAAGTGTCTCAAAGTAATAAAACATAACAGTAGAAGCATGTAAAAGAAACCTCCTGACATTTAATCCCTGCTGCTTTCTCACATGGTTTTTCACATAGTTCTCAGAGAAATGCTTCATTATTTTGCTCTTCACTAGTTTATACAATGAAATAGAAAAAACTGATTTAATTGATCTGTACTTACATAGCTTTGCTGGAGGCTTTGACTACTGGCAGCAGCCTCAGTAGAGCATCTTCTGAAGCAAAGTATTTCTTCAGGTCAAACATCTCAAGCTCTTTCTCAGATGAAAGTAGCATGAAGAGCAGAGTTGACCATTGACCAGGAGACAGCTGGTTTGCAGAAAGACTTCCTGTTCTTAAAGACTGTTGGATTTCCTCCATCAGAGATTGATCATTTAGTTCATTAAGGCAGTGGAACAGATTGATGCATTTCTCCACACATAGATCATTATTTATCTTCTCCTTGATGTACTGGGCTGTGTACTTATTAGCTGCTAAACTTTCTTCTCTCTGTGCCACAAACCCTCCTAAGCGACGCTTATTGGTCTCCAGAGAAAGACCAAGTAGGAAGCGGAGGAACAAGTCCAGGTGTCCATCTGGACTCTCCAGGGCCATGTCCACTGCACTCTTGTACATTTCTGTCTCTGAGGATTCCTGGTGTCTTTTTTCCAATTCCTTGGATTTCATTTCACCTTTTGCCATCAGATTGACTCCAGATTTGATGAAGGTCAGGTGAACATGAAGAGCAGCCAGAAACTCCTGAACACTCAGGTGGACGAAGCAGAAAACTTTGTTCTGATACAGACCTCTCTCTTCTCTGAAGATCTGTGTGAAAACTCCTGAGCATGTTGAAACTGCTGTGATATCGATGCCACACTCTGTGAGGTCTGATTCATAGAAGATCAGGTTTCTTTTCATCAACTGTTCAAAAGCCAGTTTTCCCAGAGACTCGATCATCTTCTGGTTCTTTGGACTCCAGATTGAATCTGTTTCAGCTCCTCCATCATACTTGATGTCCTTCAGTTTGTTCTGCACCACCAGGAAGTAAATGTACATCTCAGTCAGGGTCTTGGGCAGCTCTTCTCCATCTTTTTTTTTCAACATGTCTTTCATAACTTTAGCAGTGATCCAGCAGAAGATTGGGATGTGGCACATGATGTGGAGGCTTCTGGATTTCTTTACATGGGAAATTACTATTCTGGCATGCGTCTTATATTTGAATTTTTTGGTGAAGTATATATCTTTCTTTAGGTCAGTGAATCCTCTAATCTCCGTCATCTTGCCAATAAACTCAGGAGGGATCTGATTGGCTGCTGCAGGTCTTGTGGTTATCCAGAGGAGAGCTTTGGGAAGCAGTTCCCTCTGATGAGGTTTGTCAGAAGAACATCCACTGAGGTGAACTTTGTTATATCTGTCAGGATCTCATTTTTCTTGAAGTCCAGTGGAAGTCGACATTCATCCAAACCATCAAAGATGAACACAACTTCTAAATCTTCAAACCTGGAGATTCTTTTGGTTTCACTAAAAAAGTGGTGAACAAGCTCCACTAAGCTGAACTGCTGGTCTTTTAACAGATTCAGCTCTCTGAACATGAATGGAAACATGAACTGAATGTCTTGGTTTGCTTTGTCTTCTGCCCAGTCCAGAGTGAACTTCTGTGTCAGCACCGTTTTCCCAATGCCAGCCACTCCCATTGTCATCACTTTTCTGATTGGTTCATCTCCTTCATGAAAGGGTTTAAATATGTCTTCATGTCTAATTGTTTCTGGTTGGTCTGGTTTCCAGGACACTGATTCAATCTGTCTGACTTCATGTTCAACATTGACCTCTCCAGCGTCTTTCTGTGTGATGTATAGATCTGTGTAGATTCTGTTCAGAAATTGTGCTTTTTTGGTTTACCAATCCCTTCAAACACATGTTTGAACCTCGTCTTCATTCTAGACTTCAGTGTTTGTTGGCATGTGGTGAGTGATCCTTAAAGAATGGGAAAAAAAGTAAAATATTTTTTTTTCATTTGTTTTACATTTCATTTTGAAAACATTCATGTATGTGTAGATATCACACAAATATTTCTGCTTAATTCATTTTTTATAAGCTATGATACACAACATTTAAGAACCAATTATTTAAATCCTAATGTCTGGCCATAAGAATAAAATACCACTGAATATAATTGAGAAAATATGAGCTTCCTACTGGATGGTTACTTCATAGCCAACTGTCTTCCAACTGGCAACGAGTTACTTACTGTTAGTGAACAGTAAGTAAGAGAGTAAGAGTAAGTAAGAAAGACATCTTATTGTTGTGGAAATGATGTTAGTCTGTTTTACAAGCGTAAAATTATTGGCATCAAGCAGAGGAAACATCTAAGGAGATCCAAAGACTAAGGTTGGGTTAAAACTGTCTAACATATTATTCAAAAAATAGAAGGAAACAAAACCATGAATGACTGAAATTGGTGATCATTTAAGTGTTCAGTTAAATCAAATCAAAGGAAAGGATCAGTAGAAGTCAGAGGTCTAAGAATGAGGATTTCCACAATGTGAAGGGAACAGTAGAGTAGCCATTAGAAAACCTTTAATCAATGAGGTTAACTGGAGAAAACAGCTTTAACTTGTTAGGCAGCATAAAGGTATGACTCTATAGTGACATAAAAAGGTTAATTTATCTGATGAGTCCAAATTTACTCTCTTCTAGAATGAAAGGCACATCAGGGTAAGAAAGAGGCAGATTAACACTGAATGTTACACAGCAACCAACCAGTATGTATAAGTTTTAAGAATTGAACTGTATTTGGCCCAGACATGATCTATACCTACTGGCTAAATATCCTTAATGCCCCCCATAAAAACCAAACTAACTAACATAAGGAAAATTGAAAGATAAATCTACTTATCAATCTTTCAGCATATTAACTCCATAGAGAAATTGTCTTACTGGTTTGAAGACGGTTAGCCAGCTCCTCCTGGTTCATCCTTTTTAGGAAGTGTTGTGTGATTTTCTCAAAAGCTTTTCTGCTCTTCTTCATTTGCTCTTTATCTTCACCCTCTAAATCATCTTCATCCTCATTCCCCTCTAGAACATCTGGGTAATCTGAATCCAGAACCATTTGGATCTTCTTCAGCTCATTCTTCACAAAAGTGGAAATGTCCTTTTTAAACTCCTAAAACAGAAAAAACATAACTTAAACTGAAATCATTAAAGTGGTGGTTTGCCCTCCCACCTTCTTCAAATCAGACAAAATTGGTGTCAAACATCTGTGATACGTTTGTGCAGCAAAAAGTTTGGTTTGTGACGCTATAATTTTAAAGATATTTTTAAAGATAAACATAAATATTTCTAGAGGTCACATTTAAATATCTTTAGTTATTCGCACAAACTCAGCTCGGTTTAGTTGGTTCTTGTTGTGCAACAAAAAATTTTATTTGTGCAGCTTTGGCTTTGAAGATATCAAATCAGACACCCATTTAGTTTGATTTGAAGAAGATCGGTTGACCTTTCATGACCTCTAGAAACATTTCTCTTTATATTTAAATTGATAGTGTCAAAAAAAATTGCTGCACAAGCCAGCACAATCGTAGCACAAACGTTTGACACCGATTTTGTCTAATTTAAAGAAAGTGTGGGGGCAACTTTATTCAAGTAAAGGGTATTTTTTGGTAAATATATGTCATCAGAAACAGGTTTAAACCTGTATGAATCATACAGTAAAAGGAATACAACTAGCAGAAAAACAGTCAACTTCCTGTCCACAGGGGGTGGGGCTAAGGTGATGTCACTAATTGTGATCAGTGGTGGTCTGTTATGACACACATAATATTTTCTGCAGCTGTGATATATAAGGAAGTTATTCCACTGGCGAATGGTCAGATTTTGAAGCCCATGCCCACATGCAATAAAAACCTTTTAATAACTTGAAAAAATATCAAACAGATGAAAAGTGTGGCACTAATTCCATGACCATTTTATAAAAGCAAACTAGAGGATGTAGGGAAAAGTGGGAGCCGCATCGGATAGGGAAGTGATGTATACTGACATGGGACGAGGGCTTCCACAGGTAGTCTTCACTGTATGAAAGGTTTGTAAAAATATGAATGTCTCATGACCACGTAACCATGTGTCAACTGTTGGATTCAAACAGTTTTATGAAAGAGAAATATGTCTTCCATAAAACATGGGAGAGAATTCATGGCTGTTTTCTGCTGATCTACTGATCCATGCTGGGGTTTTCCACTAGTAATCATTTTGTGGTACCAGAGAAAAGTGACAGAAGTCTGATGGTCTCTGATTGGTTAGAGAGTGAAGTCAGAGGTCACATTACAATAGTTTCTCTCTTACAATAATCCAATTCACCATTTACAAAAACTCACAACAGTGACTGAGTCTGACCAAAAGCCAAAGAATGATCAGAAATTTCAACATGGCTTCCATGTCCTCCATTACTAATGCAGGACGTTGTGTTTGGGTCACATACAGATCACATTGTGTCTACTAGAGCTCTTACTCAGTGATGATAGAAAACCATCCACACTGTGTAGAGCAGAACTGAGCCAATTCAAACTGCCCTGCTAGTTGCTGTTGGAAAAGGTCCATAAGTCAGACTGATCTTCCACTAGCTCACAATTTGTAGCGTAGAGACGACCATATGAACACAACAGACAGAAAGCAGGAGACGTAAATATACAGACCAAATATGGATGTTTGATGTTGGGCATTCTGACCACTAGGGACCTCTGAGATCTTCACTCTGTGGAGGAATCATAAAGACTTTATCACACTCGAAATCTCCACACAAAACAGGCAAAAATAAACAAGTTACTTGTAGATCTTGACAAATAATAAAATTAATCCTAAGAAGCAATTTCAACTGATTATACTTATATTTTTTTCTAAATGTTTTGACAGTGTAAACCATAAAATTTAGAAAAAGTTTGAGCCTCAGCTGACCAGAACATCTTCTTCCACAAGTTCTCTTTTCACTGACAGCGTCTCACATTCCTACCCTTAGAAATCCTGACCTGCTCATCTTTCCCATCTCTGTCTCTCTACTTCACCAACCTGTACAAATCATTATTTCCCTCCTTATTGTCCAACCAGCATATAGGTCATAATTGGCCCTTTGTTTAGGCTTTGCCAGCACTATTTTCACAATGCATTATATCTCCTGGTACTCCTTTATACACTCCTAATTCCTTTTCCTACCTTCTTTATTTTTATATGCATCTGAATTTTTCACAGTGTATTGAACTTCTTATTTTTAACAAAAAGGACAATCAGAAAGGAAATTTACCCCAAGTTACTATGAAAGCATTTTGTGTGAAGCTCAATCTCTTTTAAGACACAACTGCACGACTTCCTCACTGTGAACGTCCCACACTGTCAGAGATCAGAACTGCTTATCCACATGTTATACTGCTAAAAAGGGAAATATGTGTACGTGATTACATGTCTCTAAACTGAATTCAGACAGCACTCCCAGGATTTTTCTGTCATTGAAAAATAAATTTGTAGAATAAGATTTTATCAGGGTACAAAACACATGTTAACTGTTAGTTGTGTCTACAAAAGAAAAAATGTGCAAAGTGAAAATAAATAGAGTTCTGTCACAATAGGAACTACTGCCTATAGACACAAACAAAGACGTAATGGAAAATATATTTAAAGTAAAAAGGATAAAAAAATTAAAACAAGGCCAGTTGGATGAAAAAATAATGCCATCTGGGATTTGTATCTTCAGCTGTTATACATAAAAACAAAACATTCACAAACAACTCACTCATGTGGAGATGGAGGTTGGTCTGTTTCTGACAGTTGTCCAGATGAAGAGCTGGAATATGAGTGCTGAGGGCTGCATGCAAAACAATCAGACAGTAAGAGAGATTTTTAAACACTGCTTTAACAAATTGCTTGGTGAGGTCTTAAGGTGCTCTGCTTTTTGTTTTATTGAAAGTTTTTTGTTCCTGCTGATATGGAAACACCTGATTAAATTAGAACCATTCCAGCTTAAGAAAAAGACCCACAACTCCTACAAAATATAAATATGTTTTGTTTTTTTAAGACTCATGTTCTGGATTACAACTTTACAAGTGCATATAAAACTACATGGCAATTTCTTGCTGTTTGTGTCCAACTTTAATCTATGTAATAAAAAAGTTTAATAACCGAAAAAATATATTTGTGAAATATTGTAATTATTGAGATTTTTAGACAGACTGATTATGCATAGCTTACCCTGTAAAGGCTTGTTTGATTTAAAATCAGGATGATCAGCATAGATCTATTCTCACAGAGCTCTAGATCCAGTTCATCTTCATTCTGTTTTCTGTAAGTGAAGTAGGTTGAGTGATATGAATGCCTTTTTTTGGACTGAATGAAAACAAAAAAGTGAAGGTTGATAACTTTCTATCTCACCTCCTGGTTTTCCTCTTATTCTCAGTTTCATTCAGAGTTTCTCCTTCTTCCAGCTTCTCCCTCTGATCCATGATGGTGAGTTCAGATCCACATCAATCTGCAAGGAGTGTTTATGTTAAACTGGAGAAGCAAAACAATTCACTCACTAGTTCTTCAGCTCAGAAAATATTGTTTTCTTCACATTGTTTGTTCAGTAAAACTATCAGATAACAGCATCAGACAGCAACACCAGCAAACAAGCAGGAAGAGAACTGACAATAAAAGTAAGAATATTCCTAATAATTTTTTTTAAAGAAATTTCATGCACTTGCCTGATTTACATGCACTTGTGTGGGAACATGTTCTTCAAACTGTAGATAATTATGATTAATAACTTATAATTAACAGAAGTTGCTAGTTGTTTCACTCAAAATAAGTCTGGGCGCAACCTGATAACCAGGAATTACTGGCCAAACAACATTCAGTCAGTCGGTGATGTTCTGTGAAAACCAACTAAAGGAAGAGTTACAAAACAATAAATGGATTGACGTCACCATCTGGGAGGAGCCTGAACTTACAGCTGGTCTCTGTTTACAATGATCTTTAGACCTTTGAGAAAGGAGCGGTCACATTCCTGGTATTTCCACCTATAGTTTAATTTTGTTTAGCCTCAAAATATCTAATGAGTTTGTGGAAAAAATTATAAATATTCCATGAAACTACAGACCATTGCTGTGTTTTAACTACTTGGGCCGAGTTACCCAACTACTAGATAGAAAAAATTATTCCAACACTTTTATAATGGAGAAACATTAAGTAATTATACTACAAACAAGAATAAAGAAATAGACTTGAAGAGACCTGGAATAGTAGAAAACTGTAAACCAAGTTGAGGCTTGTATTTCCACAAACTGGTTTCTCTCTCACCAGTGCGATTATTATTATTCTGCATAAAGCAGCCAAGATAAAAACAGAAGTGACTTTAGTTCCCTCTTTGGTTTAATGTCTATAATACAAGTAAAGATAATTACAAGAAATGAACCTGTAAACAAGTTAATTATCAAAGAGGCTGTTATCTTACCTTAAATCTTTCTGCTTCACAGCGAAATGAAATATGAAAGCGTTTGATAAACAAAATGGGGAAAAGCTTCGTCTCTAAGACGGGACAGAACCAACCTCATCACAGGTGGATCGTCACCTGTGAGGGAGGGAGGAGTTTAACTGCTGCTCATTGCTTCAAGCTGTCAGTTCCAACCTTAAAAGGAATTTTATCTAGTCAGAATACAGTCAGATATCTCTTAATTTAGCTTTGCCTGAAATTATTTGCTTTTAAGATATCTGTAGTTGGATTTGTACAAGTTGATTCCTATATAAGTTACTTTATATCTAAAAATACATTTGATACATCTTGACTAATTATGTAATTTAAGATATGTTTAATTGGAATTGTTACTAGACATAGCAAAAGAACAAGGTATCTTGCTTAATGAATAGTCATAATTAAATTATATTTAACATCTCATTCTGACTCCTTCCCACCCAACCCTGCAGAACAACATGCACAATAATAATACTAAACAGAAAGTGAAAGTAACAGGATACAGAACTGGCAGGTGTGCATTTTAAAATAAATTAGGCAGCACAAACACAACACAAAAACTCAAATACATGTTAATATGAGAATATATTCTAACAAATTCAAAGAAAAATTAAATGCAATTCATTAATTCAAGATTCTTCAAAAAGGTGCTATAAATGTTTGACTGTGGGCAGAAAAGATCTTGTGTCGCAGTCTGTTAGTGAGTTTGAATCTGAAATGTGTTCAAGTTGCTAGTATTGAAATGCTGCCCTCTGGTGGACACATAGCATTCCCCCTAGTTTTAACAGCAATACAACCTGCATTGAAGATGATGAGAACTGCCCTGTTGAAGCATCTTTCAGTGATGTCCCCAATTAATGGAGCTCCAACTCCTCATTGACTACTGTCATTTATTTAGGAGATAACTAGGTATCTTTTATGGGTTATTTCCCTTCTCATGCTGAGCTGGTCCCACATCAACAATTTCTATAGCAGACAAAGATCACTACATTAAATCCAAGAAACAGTTTTTAAAATGATTTCATTTATTCAGGGATAAAATAAACACCAAACTGACCTGAAAAGGTAACTTATATTAAAGAAACATGATAAACTAGAGCATCAGAAAATAACTTGGAGGCAAGAAAAACATAAAAACAATCACTGGGGAGAACAGAAGTGGAAAACAGAACAAACTAAAGTAGAAAAGTTAAAGGAACAACAATAATGACTAAAATCCACAACCTAATTCAAACGCCCCCAGATCCTGACACCAACCTTAATGGGGCAGGATATGAAATAATGAACATAAATCATGTTGTGCAATATAAATGTTACTCACTTTTATATCATTTATGTGTACCGCTTATAACATATTAGTGAAGATGTATATTTCCAAGTATTTATTCTTCTTATAGTTAATTTGTTAATCACAAGAAAATAATCAATGCATAGAATCATTATCACAACATTATAATATATTGCAGTTAAAAAGTGTCAAAAGTGCATGTAGATTACTTTACATTGTCTTTAGGCACTAATAGCAACCAGAAAATCTACATCTTAAGTTTTCACAAACTTAGAGAAGAAAAAATATACATCAGAAAAATGTTATACAGAGATTATTGATAAAGAACGAAGAGGTTTTGGGTCAAATCTTACATCCAGTCTTAGATTAATTCCTTTTAATGATCTGGTCATAGAATCTTTATTCTCACATTCTCATAACTAATTATCAATGCTTTTTGTCCCTGTGATCAGAACCTGCTGATGATTCTTTATGATTAATTGAAAACAAAGGGAGACAGAATCATTAGTTCAGTGGTTCTTAGACTCAATAATTGTCCTTTGTTTGAACTTAAGATTGGTGAACTATGTTGTTTCTTATAAAAACAGTTTGATTTAATGTGACTTATTATTTTTTTCCTGTTTTTAATGCATTGATAGTCTTGAGATGTTGTACTAGTTTTGAAAAGTGTAGCCCAGTGATAAAAACTCAAGTAAAAATTTTATTATGTTGATTTAATGTTTTCTTCTACAACAAGATTAAAAAGTATAAATAGAGTTTATGTTTTGTTCTACTCATATAGATTAAAAGTGATAAAAATCTTTAAAAACTGTGAAATATACCTTTAGTGGTTGCTTTTAGTGACAGATTAAACAACCATTAGCTGACACAGGCTGATTTCACATCAGCCAATGAGGTTGATTGTCCCGCCCCTTTAACTGCTGAGCTGAGATTTTGCTCAGGACACATCAGACATGCTTGAGAGCTCACAGCTGACGGTTGCTTCCCATAGTAACCTGGAAGAGCCTGTCAAAATTTGATGTAGAATCTGGACAATTGAAAGCTTTCCTTGTGAGCAGCTGAAGCCGGAAGAATCCCAACCCAACTGGTCACTAACTGTGGAACATTGAATTGATAGAGACATCGAAAAGACTTATTTTATTTTCTGTTTAAAAAGCTCTCAATTTTGATTTATTTACAAATGTGGATCCACAATTGCTTATTATATTAAATCCAACTCTTAGAAACACCATGTACTCTCTTTTGTCACTAAGCTCCCTTGAATTTAGAGTCTTCTGATCCGGCCCAAATGTCTTTATATTTCTATATAATTGATATTAGTCATTGAAGTAAATTAATTTACCTGCCATTTATTATTATCAAGTATATTTGAAGTAACTTTCCTTGTGGGTTACAAAGGCACTTAGGACTAAAATGAGCACCAACACGCTCCTGAACGACTCCTGAACCCAAATCCAGGATAAAGAGGTTCAGTGAATTTGGTGTTGAAGGTGTAGATGTGGATCAGTGTGTCTGAAGAGACTCTGTAGAAGGACAGAGTCCCAGCAGGACAGTCCACATACACAGCCACTCTGTCAGAGACAAAGGAGGGAGAGGAGAAGGAGGGAACAGGGATGAAAGCTTTTTTTTCACTATCATGCCAAACAGTGTAACCATCATTAGAGCAGATTAGACACCAGGACTTATTATTAAGTCCAAACAAGCAGTCATCACTGTCTCCCTTTCTTTTGATTCCCCTGTAACTCACTGATACATAAACCCTCTGTCTCCACTCAACCTCCCAGTAACATCGACCAGTCAGACCATCAGTACACAGCAGCTGATAGAGATCAAATCTGTCTGGATGATCAGGATACGGCTGTTCCTCTGTTGAACATGTCACCTTCCTTTCTTCATCAGAAAGTCTGAGGAATCTGTTTACAGTGTTTAGGTCGACTGTTAGTGGACAGGAATCTGAAGGACAGAAGAAACACAATTCAGTTACTGATGTATAATTTTCTGAATTCACTGTCACAAAGGTGAACAATCATAAAGGAGATAATCTACTATGAATCAAAAATGAACTCACACTTCCTCAGTCCTGATGTCAACCATCTTTCTCCTGCAGGCTCCATGCTGTAAGAAAGAAGGCGTTTTGATGGCTTTACCACTTTTCTGTTACCTATGTCTAATATTTTACTGGTACTATCACTTCAGTTATAATGGATGCCTTTTTCTCATCCTGTTGCTTAATCTGTATATTATTAATAAGGTTCTAATCCCAACATTAATGATCCTAAACATACAGCAATAAATTAAAAAGGTATAAATCAATTTATGTTTATGAATTAGATTCAATTTTTAGTCACAGCCTCATTTTCAGATTTAGATTAAAAAAGAAAAACTTATTAGTTAAGCTGTGATGGACTGACAGCCTGTCCAGAGAGTCCCTGACCTCTCACCCAATGACTGCTGGAGATTAGCACCAGCAACCCTCGCCATCCTGCAAGGACAAGCGTGCTAGATAATGGATTGATACTAATTTTTACTGATACAACCATCACTCATGCTTCCACTTTGAAATTATGCTTTGCTTTGTGTTTGTTAGTTGAAGCTGTTTAAATAGTTTTGCACAGCTCTGTATGAACTGCTCAACATCCTTTTCATTGGTATGGACAACTAATTATCTCTCCAACGTGGCATGATTTTAATGCTGCACTACAAGTCGTCTCTGACATAAACTAGCATTCATTGTCTGAGGCTGTTTGGGCTTTTTGGTTTATCCTACAGTCAAGATTGATCTTGAAAGATGAACCAATCCCATCATTAATCTTCCTTTATTTATCTTAGACAAATAAAGTATCTCCAGAACTCTTTGTCAAAGATCCTGAACACCTTCTGGTTTGCTGCCATATTTTGCACTGTGTCTATTCTGAATCTAGCATTAAGCAATAGCATAGCTCTATGTGGCAGCAGAAATTATTTTCTTACTTCAGAGAGTCCAGTTTGAAGCTTGGATTCTTCAATATATCTGTTAGACTCTTCATTCCTGTGTCTCCTGGATGATTGTATCTGAGGTCCAGTTCCTTCAGGTGAGAGGAGTTCACAGTCAGAGCCGAAGCCAGAGCAGCACAGCCTTCCTCTGTGATGAGGCAGCCTGAAAGCCTGCAGACACAAACACATAAAAATGTTGAAAAAATCATCTATACACTGGTTAGAACTGCTAGAATAATTAGTTGGAATGTTAAGAAGATCAGGGAACCGTGTCTGTTGAACAGCAGCCTACATGCTGGCCTGACAAATAGGAAATATTATATTTTCTGTCTCTCAGTGTTACTATGTAAAATTAGAATGACAAAGTGGGGTTATATTGGTCAAAAAATTCTCCTAATTCAAAGCTACATCTTGGTCAGAGTCTTGGGCAGCTCTTCTCCATCTTTCTTGTTCAACATGTCTTCCACAACTGTAGCAGTGATCCAGTAGAAGATTGGGATGTGACACATAATGTGGAGGATTCTGGATTTCTTTATGTGACAAATTACCATTCTGGCCTGCTTCTTCGATTGAAATCTTTTTGTGAAGTATTCATCTTTAAACAGCCTTCAACTGGACAACTTCATCTCCTTGTAAACAGTTGCAATGCTTCCTATGTTTTGCCAACTTCTACTGTCACTTCATTATGATACTGACAAACTGCTGTTACCATCAATGGACTAAAATCTTCATTTGAT